GAGAGAGAGAGAGAGAGAGAGAGAGAGAGAGAGAGAGAGAGAGAGAGGAGAGAAAGAGAAAAGACTTGGCACAAGCTTTTGAAACATCAAAGCCTACTCCTAGTGACATACTTTCTCCAACAAGGCCATATCTCCTAATTCTTTTAATACTTTCCAACATTGCCACTTCACGATGACTAAATATTCAAATATATAAGACTATGGGAGTCATTCTTATTCAAACCACTATGGCAAGAAAGTGACACTTTTATGTCACTCTATTATTACAAATTTTATATCCAAAGTTTTTGCTGTATATTCCAAAACACTTAATACATTTATTGATTACAGACTAGCAGATGTGTTTTGAAATCAGCAATATTTTGAGAGATAGAAAAGAACACTTTCATGAAAATTAATTAGATTAATTAGACAATATTTGTAAACATTGTTTAATGGAGACTAACCAATGAAAAATGAGATCCTTAGATGATCTGAGCTATAGACCTAGAATAATGATGGGAACAGTGATAGAGAGTGAAAGTCCCCCCTACTACTCTACTTTATTTTTTTATTTTTTATTTTTTGGTTTTTCGAGACAGGGTTTCTCTGTGGCTTTGGAGGCTGTCCTGGAACTAGCTCTTGTAGACCAGGCTAGTCTCTAACTCACAGAGATCCACCTGCCTCTGCCTCCCGAGTGCTGGGATTAAAGGTGAGCGCCACCACTGCCCGGCGACTACTCTATTTTAGAAAAGTATGTCTTCTAGATTTTAGAGAATTTATTCTTTCATATAAACTTAGTTATTTTAAAAGCTTGAATCTAGTGCTGTATTTAATTTGTCTATGGGTGTGGGATATGCATACGCATGCACTTGAGAGGGAGGGTACACTTCTGTGTATGTGGAGGTCAGAGATAAACTATGTGTGTCTTCTGCTGTGGCTCATGTATTTTTTGACACAGTGTCTCTCACTGAACACGGATCTTACTGTTTTGGGTAGGCTGGATGGCCAACAAGTCCTGAGAATCTGTCTGTTTCTAACCCCAGCACTGGAGTACAAATACATGCAACCACAGTTAATTTTGCTGGGGTCCAAACCCTGATTATTATATTTATGCTGCAAACAGTTTACCCACTGAACTATCTCATCTGTTCCCACGATATTTGATTTTAAAGGGGTTTTATTAGAGGTTGTATTATTAGGATTGTATAGACAATATCATTACTTCCTGATTACTTTGACAGATGTCCTCATTTATTTTTATGTAGAACCTCAGCAAAACTGTGTCCTCCCCCTACTCTTTTCTTTTCTGCTTACTGTTATCCCCTTCCTAAAGCCCTGATTTTATTACATATTATCATTAGGTGCTGGATAAAT